GGCGACGAGTCCGTCAAGAATTTCAAGAGCTCCCGCATGCTAGTGTGGTGCTGCAAGGCCGTGCCCTTCACTTTGAAACCGTTTTTAATCTTGATCAATCCATATGTGGAGTTGGTCGCCGGGGTCTTGCTCTTCTTACCCTTCTGGATCAGGCGAACAAAATTTTCGACCTGCTCGAAAGAAGCACGTCGATGTCTTGAGTTGAGATGCTATCCGGCTATCCAGGTCCCGGGCCCGAGAAATGGCACTCGCTGTCGATGACGCTCCTCATCAAGGAAACGTGGACGACAAGAGTCATGAAGAGCACAACTCGTGCCGGACAAGAACCATCACGCCAGTTACACATACATCGCCGCCTGAGGCCGCCATGTCAAAATGCAGCCCGAGCGGTGCACAGCGGGGATCTAGCACTGCTTTTTGTGTCGGAGCCCGAAGTGCAGCTTTCGTATGTTTCCAGGCCAACAATCCAAGGGCATCAGACAAGACGGTGGTGCCATCGACTCAGTGCACGGCTCCCGCAATGCTCACGGAGACCTACAGTCGCCAGCAGAGGGTAAGGCTGCCGGAGAAAAGCTTTTGAAGCAAAGTTGGGGCTCCAGCTTCACATCTCGCTGCACGAAACGGAACCTGTCCAGGGCTTCATTGCAGCACACCATGAAAGACATGCAGAGGCCACCAGAAATGCACGCAGAAATGTCTTGTTTCTCTTTGCTTGCAACGCTTCGCAAATCACCTGAGGCCATGCTCCTCTGCAAGCTGCTGGCAAGAGCGGCGGTTTTCGAGCACCGGCTCAGCCATCGCAAGCCACATCAGACGGACTTCTTCGGCAACCTCCCGACTGGCATAGCTCATTCTGAGGAACCACCGTGATTTCTTGTCAGGAGGGCCCGGGTTCCAGGCATTAAATAATTCCAACAAGCTTTCCGTTGCCTTCCATGGGCTCATATGAAACAAGGCTTTTTTCGTAGCTGCCTGGTGAACCGTCATGGCCAACGCCCACGCATCGGCCTTCACACTCAAAACTTGCTTCAGCCTCTTCTCAGACAGGCCCTTGGCCACTTCAGGCGGTCTGTAGCAATGGGTGTACACCCCTGCCCCGTCCTCCTCGAAATCGTCTGGCAATGGAAGCCGATATGTCATGCCCAAGTCTATGATCCAAAAGGAGTTTGTGCAAGGCTCAAACAGAATGTTAGTCGGCTTGACATCACCGTGGATATGCTCAGTCTTCCTGTGCAGATGGGCCAAGCCGGCGACCAATTGATGGGTCATGGCCAACTGCTTCTGGTCATCAAAAGCTCCCATGTTCTGCAAGTACTGCAGGACCGAGCCCGTGGCCACATAAGGCATGATCATGAAGGAGATCTGGCCGGGAACGAACACATTCTCAGTCACCACCGACCATGCGAGCACCGGCAGAAAGGTCTCGTGATCCAGCTGCTTGAGCACGGCGACTTCTTCAGACAGGTGGAAATTGGTGTTGCTGACCTTGGCCGCATAGATGCGATGCGAAACCCTGTGCCTTACTTTCACGATGCCGCCGTAGCCGCCCTGTCCAACCCCGGCCTCAGAGCCACAAACGACGAAGTCGCCAAAGGTGACACCGTCGGGAGCATGCTCAGACAACACAGCCTCAGGCGCCACAGGCGGCTCGATTCGCTGAGCCCGTCTCAGACGAATGCCTGCCTTCTGTGCTGCCTGCCTCTGGTCCGCGAAGCTCGCCCTCGATGCCTCGACGAACTCCCTCCGCTCCTGGTCGTCGAGCTTGCGCCATTCAGGCGCTGCGTCTCTTGGACGGAGCCGCCGCTGCTGGCAAAATAAGGCGAACGGTTTGGCGGCCTTCTTCACCACACCGCTGGCCACGGCCCGCTGGAGGTGGGTCGGCTTCTTGCCCTCACGCTTCATGGCCCTCTGAGCTCAAACCTTGCGGATCTTCAAGGATGCCCCGAAGTCGCACCTGCACCATGTTGTTTGACAGATCACGTGCTAACAAGTAAAGCCCTCTGCTGTTTCACCTCAGCCATCCTGGAGTGCAGTCAAAATTGAGATTTAAAAGCTCCATGTCTCAGACTGGACCTCTCCAGCTGCATGGAATGTGGGAGCGACAAAATGGCCTTCTACTTTTCTACGTCCTCGCCCTCGCTGCTCTCCGAATCTTCAGATGAGGAATCCTTCTCGCTCTGACTCTGCTTGGGCTGTGGTTCCGTAGTCTCAGGCAATGTCGTCACAGGCGCCGGCACCGTCGCCGGGACAGGCGGCACAACCGTCGTCGCCGGGACAGGCGGCACCACTGTCACAGCCGCTGCCTTCGGCGACACATCAGGCACTGCTGTCGTACTCGGAAGCGGGGCTGCTGGCAGGCGATAGAATCGCTCGTCGTTCCTGTTCCGAACTCGCTTGGAGATCTCCTCCCTGATCAGACCGAGGACCAGTCGACGCTGCTCGTCCGTGCGGACGATGTTCAAACACGGGATCCTCTGTTCTGCGCAAACGACACTCAGACACCCCGACCCCG